GAACTTGACAGATGGTTTCTGAAAATACAGTCCGATGAATTGTTGGACTAAACAAATTACAATTCATCGCTGTTTTTGTTTTGTCGTTCCATTCCATTTGTTTTTCTTTTTGGTTTCATGCAAAATCTTTGAATGTTTTAATTTTCATCGTTTAAACATTTCAGTTCAAATACTAGGAGAGAGCATCCGCGAAATTGAAGCTGTCAGTAGACGACGAGCACATCAGTTCATGATAGATTTGTTGAAGGTGAATGGTAGATATCGATGTTCACTTCGTGGCAATCAGTAGTGCGTTTGGTGGCAGTGGCTTTTTGATGTCTATAGAATAATTAAGTACAAATAGTTGACTTTTTCAAATTTGGTTGATAATCCGTGCGTCGTTTATGCTAAGTTCGTTGAGCTATGATAATTGATTTGAGCGAAACAGTTCATTATACTCTACGAATTTGATTTATTCTTATGCTTGTGATATACCTCGCTAATTTCGATTCTTTTCATCATAATTTGTCTTGCTTAATCTCGAGTATTTTACAGTGTTTAATCTTGAAATGTTTTTTCTTCACTTTCAATCATTGTATAACTGCACTTCAGAGACTCCTTTCAACTTTCTCGAACCGTTTCAAAGGTAACTTAAGTTTGCATCGATAGATATTGCGAAGAGTTTGTGCGAGTAGCGAATTCACGTTTGCCTAATCTCCATGATTCATCAGTTCATCTTCTGTGATAGTTTTGTTTTCTTGAACTTAGTCAAGCCTAATTGAATTGGCTTTGAGTGGCACGAGTGTGAATTGTTTTCGAATGGTATAAAATTACGGTGGCACTGATTCCTTATTTTTATCTTTCATTATTGTTCCATATTGAGGTTTCTTTCTTCAGATTGAACTGTTCCATGTCCGTATTGCTGTTTTGTGCTGTGCTTCACTCATTAATTGAATGTATATAAGTTCATTAGAAATAATTATTTGATTTTATCTTCAAGTTTTGATATTTTTCCTGCAGCACAACATCAACAATAATTTGCTTCCTACCGCTCTAAAGTATGCTGTCTAATAACGTTCAGTTTTCTTTCCTATTAATGTTCTTCTTTACATTGCAAGTTTTTACATGGTGAAATAAAATTTCGTTGAAGATAATTTTTTCCAGTGGTTACATCGGCGTTTTTTAGTAAAAATAAGGAATGAGGGAAGTATCTGAATTAGAAAGGTCCAGTCACAATCATCGTATAATCTGATGCTCTGTGGGGAGTCCCCGAATTCGGGGTCCCCGTCTCCGAATCTCCATCCCCGACCATTTTCAAGCGGCGGCCACCTTCGGGGACTGTCCCCGTCCCCGACTCTCCTGGAATTCCTTNTCGATGTTTTGGTATCGTCGAGTGGAGGAGATATTTTCTGTCGGCCGATAACGTTTATTCTCGACGATTTTTTGAATTTACTGAATTTCTCAAAGTATTTCATATAGCTGAAATATGACGCTTAGCCCTCGCCGTGCATTTGATCTCTAAATTGACCATGAATAAATGCTTATGTTTACGAATTTAGGCAGGATGACTCCCAAATAGGCGAAAGTCTCAGCTTTGAGCAGTTTGCAACAATTTCGTGTATTATATAGCTTGAGATGGCTCTCACTAACAATGGAACTACGTAGACGCCTCATTTAGTTTCGGGCAAGTGACTCTAGCAGAATATCACCATTTTCACACTTTCAACGCTGTTTTTCACAGCTTCATGTTAATTATACGCTCAAGTTTTAGAGGATAGTTATATGGCGTTTAATAGTCAACAAGGTCGTTCTGAACTTTATTTAGACTGTTGGCGAGTGCAGAAATGCTTCAGAGTGTTCTGTAAGGTCAACGTAAAACATTGCGATCGCTGCTGCAGTATAAATATGAAACGTCGAATTGCTTTTCGCATAAACATAAACCTAAATTTGACTGCAAGTGTGAAAAGCAAATGACCTCCAAAATCGTACACTTAAGCTATACTTCTCTGCAATAAACTATCTTCAGTGGTACTTTAGTTGTAGTTGAACGATTCTCGAGAGAATTCCATTGGAATCGTAGAATCGGAGTTTTTGAGTCACTTCAAAATTGTTATACACGAACTTCGGCATATGAAATGTACTGGTGATTGGCGGTGTGATCAATTGCATAACCAGAGATGAGCGGTTTAGTTACGTCTCTTAGCTATATAAAACACTTCGAGATATTTCACTACTCTTCGTCAAATCAAACTTTTGACCTGGGTGACCCCATCGGCAAGCAAAATGGCTAAGGGATGGTAGGCACATTGAAAATTTGTACAGCAACTAATCGATGAGGACGCATCCCGATCAAGCACTCTTTTCGCCAACATATACTACTCATGCTGCTCCACTATTGCTTTTAGGTAGATTACCGCTTAAAGCTGGCAGTAGCCTTGAGAGATAAACAATATTCCGGATCATTTGCAGAGAAATAGCTAAGTAATAGTTGAATGCTCTCTACTTAAGCTTTAATCAGCCAAGTACTAGCACAAACCTTATACAGGAAGAATTGGTTCAAATGGCAAACAAGAATTTGATCGTCATGCAGACTATGGAATAATTAAACATTGAATGATTCATAAATTATCATATAATAAGCTTAAGAGTTACAATTTGGTGGTGCTTGGAAGTGAATATTTAAATTTGATATAGGCCGATGATAGGCATAATTGGAAAACAAAGAGACGAATCAGTCATTTTTTAGCGATGTATGCACAATGTTTGGTTGTGCTTTCGAGATTTGCTTTTATTTTAATTCATTCGTTGATTCTCATTGATATCGTCTTTGTATGCCACGGTTGTCGCAAGAAACGTTCCAAAGAGGTTATCTCCACTACTGCAGTATCTGTGGATGGACTTTCACCGTCACCGTAAGTGTTCTGATTTTAGCTCGTTTCAAGATTCCCCTTTGTGCCAATGACAAGTTACTATATGTACGTGTTTAACAGACATTCGAAGTTATCATTCAATGAAAAGCGATTTATTCATTTAATTGGCAAATGCATCTCATTAGCGCGATAGCTTCTCTGTTCTTTCTTCCATCCACAACCGAAAATAATTGCGCCACCAAAAGAGCAAACCGTCGATTTTGTTGAATCATGCTTTTGATGTGGTTTTAGTGATTTGGAGAGTGCTACTCTCCGTCTCTGTCGTTTGAATTTTAATCGTTCGTGCAGATAAACTGAATCAGTTTTGAGAAACTCTTCTGCTGGAATAAAAACAATCATTCGATTTAATGGTTCACTGCGATGGAACCATAAGCAAATACTATGCTTATGCTTGAATCGACATCAACTGCTGCACTGCTGCTGTTCCAAAGTGAACACTTCTGTGATTTCAGTTCACCAAGAAAGGGATCGTTTACTGGAGTGAACGATGAGCAAGTGACAAATAAGCGAAAAAAAGATTCAATCGATTTCATTCGAGCCGCACAAAGACTTGTATTCAGATTTGATTTTTGCGTCTTTTTGTGTGCATTAAGATATGAGATTAAGCAAAGTTTCCTTCTATCGCTCTGCCGTTATTTCCAATAAGTTGAGCGAATTTGTTATTGGTCATCAATGAGCCGTTCTCAGAAAAAGACGTTCAGCTCGAAATTACGTGTTGCCCATTGAATTATGTTTCAATGTTCCCTACTGTGTTTCATTGCTACATTTTGAAATGATAAACTGAACTGCCGTTCGTTTCGAGGCTATCATTTTTTAAAAGTCTATCGAACTCGAATAAAGAAATCAGTTTTGACTGAATTCAATCAGACCGAATAGTTGTAAGAGTTGCGAGGGATATCGAACATGATAAACTGATTAAGTTGGCAAACGAGGAGTTCTTATCGCCAGCACAGAGAGAGATCAAAGCTGAAAAGACCATAACGATAACGTATCGAAACACGGACGATGACGACGACGAAGAGGACATTACTGATCATTTCGCTCCAGCGTAATCAAAATCTATTCTGAACTCTTCCATTTTTAAATCAAGAAGCGATCTGCTTGTGTTTACCGACTCAGAAATANTTCCAAAAAAATTCACATGCTATTGTTCTTTGCTTTATTTCGGCAAAACTAAAAACAGTTTTCGTTCATACATCAATGCAACTATACATCTTCAACAAATCCCCTTATTCCTGAAGTATAACATTCGAAAAATACCTTTACATTCGAACTAGGCAAATATCGTATTGATTTGATCAATATTATTGGAGATGTTCTCGTCCAACAGCAAGTTCTAAAAGTAAACATTCAACAAAACGAAAACGAACCGTCGCATCAAAGCCATCAGTGATATCAGTTGATGACAAAACGCAGTTATCTGCTATGAAATCACCAAAGAGAAAACAAAAGAATCGCAATAAAAAAGGCAAAACATTAACAGGAGAGTCTGCGAAAAGATCGCAAACGGATTCGAAAAACAATAATAAAGTAACCATAAATAGGAAGTCTAAACCGATGGAAGTAATAAAAAGTGTGAGTAAGAATAAAATTGTGGGTGATCGAAACTCGAAATCAGAAGATTACGAAAAAGAGATGTTAATGAAATGGTTCCACGCACCAGCTTGTTCATCGTTACAACCGAAAACTAAAGACAATACATTCGAAGTAATTCGAGTTGATAAAACGCAACAATCGGAACGGACATTTGCAAGTGATTACACCAATAATATGAAAAATGCAAATATTGAAAATAAAAATCAGAAACAACAACAACATACAAATGTATCAGCACCTCATTCTAGTGACGCTGCAGATTCACAGAACAAGTTTGTTGCTCTTCATTTTGTCGTTCTCATTTCGATGCATTCATGAGAACTTGAGGACAGAAATTGATCGTGAGGAAATTCGATTTCTCTAGATTGAACACTCAAGTTTTTGAGCACTTTGAGCGAAGTGTCTATGACTATTAATCTTCTGGTTGCGTAATTTCAAAATGGCTCAGTTTTAGTGAGAAATTCTTGAGTTCGCCATATTGGAGCATAGCAAGGAATATTAATTATTCGTTGAACACATGAAACTGAGCGGTTTTTTTTTGTGAGAAATGACCAAATATGATGGGATTTGAAGCAGTAAAGTGTTATGAATATAATGTTAAGAAAAATTAATGATCAGAACCTTTGTCAGATCACAAACAAATTCAGGATTGATAAGAGAATAATGAAGAATTTGTGTAGCGATTAGTTGGTGAAGTACTCATTCAAACAATGAGTGAAAGGTAAGGCAATCGAACTGAATACTTCATCATTTTATTCTTCGCTTCCTCCTTACAATTTCTACTTGAGCATCTTTCACCGAAAGATTCTCCTGAAACAGTATCTGAATTTACCAACGAAATTTCTGGCGTAGTCCGGATGAGAATGTGATGATTCGATTTCAGGAATTCAATCGCTGATGGTGTCATATTGAACTGAAGATTGATGAATACAATAGTAAAAATGCATTTGATGTTTTGAATATTGGTCCGTGGAAATAATATTGCATTGTAGATACAAATTTTAGAAATATTGTTCCGACAGTCGTTATCATTTGCTATTAGAGTATTATACGCTTTATACTTTTGAATTAACATAATAAATCTCCTGTAAAGACTTTCATTTCGAGCTTATAATTTATCTTTCATTGCATAGCAACAATATGAGGCATTATTCGTGCAAGTGCTTATTGTATTTGAAATACATGGGTGATTTAAGAAAGTTGTGGAATATGTTGCTATTCAGACGTGACATGATATATTTAATTATAATTACACACCAATATTGTTAGTATAAAAGCAAACTTTCGTGCACTGATAATTAATTATAACAATTATAGCAACTGCCATCCTACTTAGCAACTTTGAACGAAACGCACTTAAATGCATCGAAAATTCGTTAAGAATGCCACTGTTTCTAAGTGTTTTGATAGATTTATATGTAAAAAAGCATAAGTATGACTGGGGTAGGATGCAACCTTTCTGTAAGAACATTTAGTTATATGTTGTTCTGCGTTGCTGCTGTTGCATCTTGAATACGGCATACTCACAATCAGGCAGAGCCAGGAAAGATCCGTCTATTAAGAATTTTTCGGTAGACTTTGGTTGGGCAGTAAATCCGATCATTGATAGTCTGCAGACTGCTTACGAAGAAAGTGCTTCGTTATTGAATGTTTATGAGTGCTCAAATACGACGAAAA